AATTTCACTTACACGCGTGCTATCGGGCATTGCAGTGGTTTTTCCCTTGTCCACTTGCGTTCTGTGTTTTTTTTCTTTTTTTTTGTCGTCGTGGTTAAAATTCATATGAAAGCGCCAAAGGGCACGCAGAGAGGAGCAAAGAAGATGAGCGGAACGGGCACTTGTCAATAACTTCGCCTCGTTAGTGTTCTACTTTGTGTGAGTTTGTGTTGCTTACGCCCGGGTCTCCGCTAACCGCGAAGCACGACGTACACCCGATGAGGTGCCGCTTTCTTTATCTTATTTTCTCACAGCCACTACAGCCCGCGTTTCGTACTGACGCCGCGCAACAACAAAAATTTCTACTGGGTCAAATAAATATGCTTTTAAAAATGATGACGAGAGGGAGCACGGCGAGGCCTTCTTCCGCGCACGCAAGCTCACCGCGCCTACACACACTGACACACACAGGCACACACGCACAGACACTGGCTCCTTTTTGAAGGCGTGCGAAGCGGGTCGCGACCGTGCGGTCGCACGACGCGGCGACAACTTCCGGCGACGTGGAGCGGCTCGGCGATGGAAGAGCAATGCGCCCTGAGCTTCCCAGCTGCCCCAGCTTTCAAGACGACGAGCACAGACCACGTGCTCGGGATGCCCGACGTCCGGCGGCTACTTCGCACGCGCCCTTCTGAAGAAGGCTGCAAGCCCACCACCGGAACCGGAAATGGGCACTCCGCCTCGTTCGCCATACCTCCGCGTGCTGACCCCTTCCTATTCTTCCAGCTCGCGCGTCCTTTGTCTCCGGAGCTCTTTTCCCGTCGGTTTCAATTTGCGTTTCTCGTCGGCTCCCGGCACGCTTTCACAGCCTCTCCTCTCACTCCTTCAATGTCCATATAGTAGCGTTTGTAAACGCGAAAGCTTTTTGTCGTCGCCGCCTTCTCGCCCGCTAGCAGCCATCGCATACAGGGCACAGGTTGTTGTTTTGTGCGACCTTTTGTGATTTCTTCATCGTTGACCAAGCGGGAGGTCACCCCTTTGTGTATGCAAAGCGTGAATGAGGACCTTTCTGTGGGCGGGAACCTCACCTCCACTTTCTCGTGTACGCTGGGTGCACTTCGATTTGCGTTGTCGTGGTTCACTGAACCTGTTGTCTTCGAGGGAAGTGACGTTAGCTGTATCGCCGCGTTCACAGAGGCTTGGAATGGTGGCCCTCTTGAGTCGGTTGGTCTGCATAACACGTCAATTCTCGGCAATGGTGCCTAAAAGAAGTGAAAGGACAGCCAGGGTGTTCTGCGGTTCGCTAGCGAACCACGACATATTTGGCCTGTATTGCATTTCGTGTTCAATAGTTCCCTCCGCTGCTCGAGATTATAGTCGTCTCTGCCAATGACCAGCATAAGAGACACCCTTCACGGTGCGTGCTCGAGCATCAACGGGGACACGAATTGCAGATGCTCTCGACGCTCAAGCAAAGCGTGCTTGCGTAACACGCATTTTTCCGACTCCAGCATTGCTTGCTGTACTCTATACTTTAGGTTTCTCCTCGTCAGGCGCATCTTGGACGTTGTCGATCAAGGATTTCAATTTTCATATATTCGTACGGCCCTCGTTCATGTATAGGTTTCATAAAATTTTCTATAAATTGTATTTGTTGCTTGCGGTAATACTACTTCCTTCATTTACAATCGCGAATTTCAGCCTCCGATGCGATGCTGTTACGCCGCCTTGGGGGTAGCATTAAGGCGTACTCGTTTCGCATCGGTGGTGAGACACTTCTACGTGCGACTTCTGCGAAACTGAAGAGGCAGTCGAACACGTCCTGTGTAACTATGCTGGCTATGACGCCCAGCGATGCCCGCTCTGGTGTTTTTGGACTAACCGGACTCCAGACCATTTTTTGTACACACGATCCTAGCACCTTGGACATGTGCCTAGAGGGCGCTGAAGGCAACTATAAAATAGAGTTACAGTATATTCTACCTTTAGGTACCTAAAGGTAGCATAACTCTGCTATAGAAGGCTACTGAAATACCTATATTCAGCAGCTCTGGGTGACCACTTGTAGAAAGGATGCGCTTCCGCAAGTGTGCTTGTGATTATGTCCTTCTCACCCTCTGATTCTGTCTCTGTTTTGCCCTTATATACCTCTCCCCCAGTGCAGGGTAGCAAACCAAACCAACCGGCATTTTCTTGCATCTCTCTCTCTCTCTTTCCAAATCAATTCGTGGATGCATCTTAGTATATGTGTATTCGACACCACTATAGTACGTTTGCTTGAATTCTAAAAGCACTCCTTCGAACTTGAAGCAATACGAGAGACACTGCAGCCAGGAAAGCACGCCAGGTGTCTTTGTCCTACAAAGTTTTGCTTCGGTAATCTCACACAGCGCCCCAATCAGTTTTATATATCGACTTCGGTACCATAGCCAAATTTGCACACAGTTCTGCAAATGCTCGCAAGTATGTGCAAAAATGCATATCATTTCCGAAATATCGAATCACAAGGGCGCCATTCTGGCTGCTCATTAGCGAAAAGCCACATTTACGCTTCGGGTATCGCACGGCATATGAAGGCCGCGAAGCCGCCTTGAGCGCTTCGCTATACGTAGAGGCACTCTGTGATTTTGTAACAGTGAGTGGAATCAGTTCTCCCCATGTTACTCTTTTTCACACGCCACCACGCAGTAACAACTCACGAACACTGCTAAATGTCTGTTGTAATTTTCAAAGGCAATGAGCATTTGAATAAACAAGAGCTGTACTTTAACGAATTGTATACGCTATCAGTTTTATCGCACTGATTACAGCTTTCAGTAAATAAATGTTGCACCCCTAGCCGAGTTGATGACGCTGACGGTGCTCGACACTATCCGGACTTGCTTTTTCTTAACATGAGTCTTTATTTCTTTAATTTTATGATAGCAAGCACCACAGTGCGACCTTTGCAAAAGCGGGACATATAAATGCTGGAGAAATTCAAGCAGAATCGGTCACGACCCGGTCCTCATTTGTTGTCGCCCCAGCACGCCTTTACGCTCTGCAAAAAAAAAAAGGGGGGGGGGGGGGGTAAGAATGAGGGCAGACCCGAGGACCTCAGGCGCACCGTCGCATATACGCTATAAGACCGCGACTGGGCCACATACGTACGTACTATGTGACGACCCACGACGAGCAGTGCAATCAGCCCGACTCGGCGCGAGATGCCTCCTCCAGAAAAGAAGGCCGAGGCGCAAAGGTGACGGTGGCGCAGAACAATGGGCCCCGCTGCGGACCAGCCGGGCTCAGCAGTGAATCTCCGTGTACGTGGTACGATCGCGTGATGGTCCTTAAGTCTTCGCTTTCTCCGAGGCTCTCACGCACATGAGTCGCGCATCCTGCAAGCTCAGATCTCTAAACGCGCGGTCTCCCCTTCGCGGTCTCACGGGCACTTGACCGCGGTTTTCTTGACGAATGCGCCGAGCTGTCACCTCTCTGAGAGTGAGTGAATGAGAGTGAAAGAAAGAGAGACGAGGAGGGGGGATAGCATTTCGATGTTTCTTGACTTGCCGTGTTGCGTGCGGAATCGTTCCTCGCCCTCATGCATGCATACCCATTATGCAGGCACTTAATAAAGCAGCTTTAGTTGGTGGGTTCTTTTTTTAGTCTGAAGAGATGGGCAGCTCGCCTATAGGAAACGCCGACTTATTTGAGAACTGATTTTTCGATCTTTTAGTGCCCGGAGCATGCAAAACTTGCGTCGATTTGACGTGCGCGCGTAATGGAGCTCGTTGATGGATCCGTTCCAATGTGGAAGAAGAAAGATAAACATGCGTGCTTTTTGGATAGGCGTTCTTTTTGCACCCAGCTCGACCAGCTTCACCCGCCCACGGTAGTCAATTATCTGGTTACGTGTTTACGCATTCCTAACTACTCAGCGCCGCTTTTTGGAGGATGGCCACATTTAAGAAGCGCACTGCTGCGCCCGCGGGGCCACGTTACATACCTCGTAAGTGGTCAGAGACGGACGTCGTACGTGAGCCTAGATTTGTGGGACATTATAGATGAGACAGAATTTAGAATGAACGGAGAGAAATGTTGCAGGCGCGATTCATTAGACATGAGTTTTGTAGAAACTGTCCAAAATACGTGGTAATCGCTGCGTAATTTATGTTAACAACAGTGATTCACTGGTTTGAACATAGTAAAGCTTAATATTATCAGGCAACGCGTAAACATGCGACCTCTCGTTACACAAGGGCAACTGCAATTCTCATGTCATATGTACCGCATGCGTGAACGACCAAAACATTCACCCTTGTATTTTGTTCTTCATCCTGATAAGTTTCGACGGTGTGGGGCAGCACAGTGTTGCGAAACATGGAAGTATTATTACTGAATATTTTTGTTCATCTAGAAGGTGCAGGTAGGTGGAGCAAAGCCGTCGAACTTGTTCATGTCGCTTTACAGTGGCTATATATTTCTTTCACGCGTAGCTGTTCATGAGTACCCGCCGTGGTATACCTATAGGAAGTAAGGCTCGAGGACGTCGGTTCGATTCCCGACCACATTTAAGTCGGGTCAAAATGCAAAAACACTCTTGTACTTACACTAATAAGGAAAAAAAAAGAAGAGTACGCGTTATTTTTTTCTCGGTGAGTTCTATGTATGACCCTCTTCAAAAAACACGTTGATTCTCAACTGGGTCCCAAAACTCTCCCAGCAGAGTATATTGGACTCCACAGAGGGTCAACATGTCTTATGAAAGAGAGTCGTACATGCGGCAAATCAGAGTTCACAAAGAAAAAGTGACCCTTTTTCTTTCCTTTGAATACAGATTCAGGCTCCCGTTAAAAAAAAAAAAACATCAGCAGTTGCAAGTTTAACCCTGCGCGGTCTCTCCACATTGGTGCACCTATATTCGTATCGAGTTTTTGGCAAATGAAACCCCCCGATTGAATTCAATTATTTTTATTGCTTGTTCATCACAATCGTCCAAAGAATTACTCTACAAAAGTACTCGTACTGCTTGTTCTGCACAGGGAGTGAAAATCAAGATGGACGAGGCGGGCAACATCATGATCAAGCGCGCCAGCAAGAGCAACGTCTACATCAAGGAGATCTCGGGCGGGGAGAACAACAGCGTCAGCGCCGACATCATCCGCAACAATGGTCTCCTGGAGTACGACAAGCCCGTTAAGGTGAGAGACTATACACAGCCATCATATCTTGATGTCCACTGCATGCGCGATGAAGCCTCTCCCAATTAAGGATCTCCAACTACTGTTGTCTTGCACCAGCGGGTACCAACCTAGTGTGCAGACGCATACTCACAGCTACGCATATTCGCATCTGTGAATGTCGGAGAATGTCATGGTTAAAATACAGAATTACACTTCAAATAGTAAAGGGTATTTCGATGGCAAGTATAAAAAGAGTATCGAGGTATAGCGCTCCGCATACCATAATAGCGATCCAGGCATATTGTATAAGAAATTCTTCTGGACTAGTTACATGCTATAGTTACTCTTCTTTGCGACCATGTGCTTTTGTATAGGGCCAGTAGCTAGCTCGAATCCTGGCGTAGATGTTCTCAGTCACCGGAACGTTCTCATTTTTATTCCGCTGAATTCTGCATTTGACCGCGGAGACAAGCCACTGAAAGGAGTACCATTCCAAAACGTTTCTTAATTACGCAGGCGAATTCTAGACGATTATATTACCCGCCTTTCTTTATCACAAGTTGCAGCAAAAAGAAACGACCTTTCGAAGCAGTGTTTACTTCCCTGCGCAATCAAGAGCCTAAGTTTATTATTGTGCCTTCTTTAATATGCGCTCGAGCTCTAGGCTACTAGTCTGCTGTACTCTCTTGGCTGTCCACAAGTTACGCACTGAATTTCAAATGCATATGTTGCCGACCCGTTTCCTTTAACGCTATTCGTTCACCAAGGATAGCCTTACCGCATGCACTACGCAACGATATCTTTCTTTTCCGCGACCAACAACATGCGTCATATAGGCAGACTTGTCCACGGCTGGAAGTGCCCGAGGGTCCATCAGTCGAGACCAGTTTTCGAGCTGTCCGGCAGCGTGAGCACGACGCAACCGAGTTCTGTGCAGATGAGGCCTTATAATATTTACGCAGCACTCGTAAATACACGGAATCAGTGACGTGTCCGAGCTCTCTCTGGAAAAGCTTGAACCGAGGCACCTCAACGCCTCATTGCGTTGCTTTCAAACTGTTCTGCCACTGTGAGTCGTCTCGAGGACATTTCACGTGCTATCGAAAGGACGCAATGACAGATGGCTGATATGAAGAGTTTCCTTATGAGACCATTCGTTGGTTCCATTATCCATGTCACAGCGTCTCTAACAGCCAGGGCTTAAAAAAGAAGTCTTCGTGAAGAAATAAAAATATCGGCCAATAAACTCAACGCTGTAATCGAGTGACAGGCATCTTTTAAACAAAGAGAGAAAAAATGGAGTCGTCACTAGCATTCAGGGATTTCTAGGCAAGCTAAATTCAGAGCGAAGGCAGCTACCCAATTACGTTAACGCACTGACACCGTTGTTCTGGCTTTTCAGTTAGCAGCGCTCCAGTAAAAACACCATTTTAAAAATACGCAAATAAATCTAGCCTTGAGGTACTACAGTCTTGATTTGATATCTGGGGTTTAACGTCCCAAAACCACCATATGATTATGAGAGACGCCGTAGTGGAGGGCTCCGGAAATTCAACCGCCTGGGGTTCTTTAACGTGCATCCAAATCTGAGCACAAGGGCCTACAACATTTCCACCTATATCGGAAATGCAGCCGCCGCAGCCGGGGTTCTACAGTCTTAGAGAACGTTTCAAGTGAACGCTTTGTCCAACTCTGCTGACTCTGGAGAATGAGCGAGAGTATCATTCGGGCCTTCAACCATATAAGTATTTATATATATTCCAATGGCTCGAATCAGCATGCCAACGATGCAAGAACACTTTTAATCTGATATAACATCGCATAGTGTGTTTATATACGCCATCCGCAACCCCGAAGGAACGCGATGTTTTTTGTTGTGACGTTCGTGTTTCTGGACACGCAGAACGATATTCCAGCACGGGGACATGCTGCGGCCATCGAAAAAATATAATAAATAAACATTTCGTTACGTAAAGAGAGAAACTGCGGGAGCGCGCAGGTTCATCCGATCGCTGGGCGCGATACGCGAGGGCCCGTTCTGCTGGACGGCGACCAGAGAACCGCGTAATACCGGTACAGTGGCGCGCTGAGCAGCGGCAGCCGTTTGGCCCACGTCATCTGTAGCGGCGATCTCTGCCACCAGACCGCTTTCGCCTTCGTCCACGCTCCATCTTGCCCCTGCCCCGTGAAAAATGGTGTCGCAGTCGTCGCCGCCGCCCTGGCGACAACGAGCTGCTGCTGTTCCTGGGCCAACGTTCTTTCGGCTGCCGCGATTAGCGCCATTCTCCTTTATTTCTCTCTTTCCCGCTAGGGGCGCGACGCACATGACGTACGCGATGTCGCTGGTGATATGGCGCGTGAAACATGTACGGCGTTCTTCCGGCGAGAGCTGCTTTTCTTCGTTCGATTCCTGCTGCGCAGTAGTCAGCAAGGTTGCTGCGGTTGCGTCGTCCCTCCTTTGGCATCGTGATATGATAACGATGAGAATTCGGTAGTATATGGTGCGTGGGCAGTAGGTGTAGGCTCGATATCAAGCGCGTAAACGAAATTCAAAGTGCTTGCGCAAAGTATAGCAAGCGAACTTGAATGGCTGCTATATATGTCCCATTGAAAAAGGTCCATATGTTCTGTAGCTCTTTGATATAGCATCACGTAGGTTTGTAGGGGAATATGAGGAGTGATGCATAATCCATACAGTTTTTCGGTTACAAAATGGTTACTGCATATACGGGAAATGCCAGGTCTTTCACGGCATGAGTAGGAGCAATGAGTCGAGATTTAATGCCTGGCGTTGTGTGATAAACAGGTTGACAACATGGCCCACAGATACGTTAGAGATTGATTGCTGGAATATATCTCAATTACGGAGCACGAATATTTCTCAGTGTTCTTGCTTATTTCTCAGTGTTCTTGACTTTCCAGAAATTAACTTATATTGGTGCTAATATTCGATGATTCCTGAACACGCAATGCTCATTTCATCTTAAATGTAAACCACATCAAAACAAGGCTACTGTCAGTATCCATTTTACTTCCCTTAGAGTAAGTTAACATTCAAGATGTTAACCTTGCTTTTTCTTTAATTCTTTCTTCGATGTACAAAAGAGCTTGTTAAAACATTTGATGAGGAGCTTTTTTTTATATAGCGATCTCTAACACCTCTTCATTTCGATCGAAAATCTTTATGTTCCATTGTCATGAAAAATTATTCTGAAATTGAGTACATCACTTTATTAGCTAAATCTAGGCTCGAACGGGAACCTACTCGGTCATGTCGAGATTTTGTGCAGATATGAATTTGTACCCATTCTTAATTGTAAACGGTAAGTGCTCTCATATTCGTATACTGGCTTGATGATATATCTAGGAAGATGGTCATTCTTCTGTGAAAGCGCCAAACGATAACCATTCCTGAAGACGTGTCAAATGCAACATTTCCTGTCTATATTTTTTTTTCGTTTTCTTGCGGTTGTTCGTTGTTGCGGTTGTCATTTTCAAGATGTATTGTGTTATGCGGACTAATAAGGTTGTGTGCATCCACCCCTTAACTTCGCAGCTCTTCGACATCAAGAAGTTCCAGCAGAACGTGTCCCGCGAGCTGAAGCGTGCCTACCCGGACAGGCGGCACCTGGAGGCGCAGTGCCTTAGCTGCGTCTGTTTCGTGAAGGACAGCCCCGAACTCCTGGACTGCGCCGTCTGGGTCATGGTCATCAACATCGTCGCCCTCGACATGCTCAAGACTAAACTGCCTCCTCCCAGTAAGTTTCCTCTCCCTCTGATCCTGTCGTTTCTGTCGTCAAGCCTTACACTCGCACTGTTTGGAAGCCTCTGGAAACGTCAGTACCTGAACTGTTGGGTTGTCTTCTGCGCTGAGTGGGCCCCAGAAAAGCGCGTGAGCTGATTGAAATCGTGGTCATGATCCTGCTGAATATCTTCGTGAAATCGCACTACGAGGCAATTTGGCTGCTGATACAAAAATTGTAGCACAACTGACGCTAAAGCAAGCGCAATTGTGCACAGATAGTGAGATGGCGACAACGTCTCACGCTCAGTAAAAAAAATAATAACAAAAGAGTAAGAGCTTTTGCTTCTGAGAGCGAATGAAACGTAATTGTGATAGCTTAGATGAAGATCAGTAGGAGTTTTTGCTTCTAAGAGCGAATAAAACGTGATTGCGATAGCTTATTTGAAGATAAGTAAGAGCTTTTGCTTCTTAGAGCGAATGAAACATAATTGTGATAGCTTAGATGAAGATCACCTTAGCTAGATGTGCGGCGAAAACTTCTGCTTCTTCCTTTGGCGCTCTGCACAGGGGGCTCCGGATGAATGTGCTAAAGTACGCGGTAAACGTGATGGCTGTACTGGCATTTCCCAAGAGCAGGGTCACCTGAACGGGGACTGCTGATTCGTAGCGTCAAAGGTGGGAAGACATGAAATAAACGGGACCGCATCAATTAAGTCATGAGTCTGTTTAGAGCCACAATGCCTCGTACGCTGCTTAATTCATCACAGCTGCCTATAGCAGTTGATTTCGAAGGCCCGTTTGGCATGGGCGAATTGGCACGCCTTGTTAGATGTGTCTTCTTCCGCGCGCATCGCCAAACGCTTCTAATGCTTATAAAGTTGCTTTATCTTGCGTCATACATAATTGGGATACGTGAAGAAACTCACCACATATACTTTATATCGTACTTTCCCGTCTTAAGGAATCCCACTCCTTTCACTTCTTGGAAGCACGTGGCCCTGTTTGCAAGAGAAGCGGCTGCCGTAACAGTTATCTGATTGCGTGGGTGCCGCACGTTGAAAAATATAGGGGTGTACTCGCCGCTGAAAACCTACGAAAAACTCAACGTAGGTGCGTGCGGACGTCTCAGCCGAGGAACGTTGTTGAAACCTCGCTTTTCTTTCCTGTTGGCACCGCTGGCACAAGCCCATCCATCCGTAACTGAAAGAAAGAGACAGGCAAAGAAGCAACAGGCCTACATAGGAGAAACGGTTTATTGGAACAATGCCTCGGCCACTCTAACCTCCTGAAAGTTTGAGGCAAAGCACGCACGTCACGCTGATTGCGTGTTGCGATGGACGACCCACGAGCAGGTATAACGGGCCAATGCGGGAGACGACAGGAAAGCGCTCACATGCACACACGTGCAACTAATCGAAGACGTACACAATGGCTTCGCAAGAAAAAAAAATGTTTTGCTATAAAACGTTGGCACTTCCTTGGAGATTCCTGTTTACAACCATGACGGTAAGCCAGGGTATGAGTCTTCTGCCCCGCACATCTTGGCACTGAAAGCGCATGTAGTTGGCAACGTTCGGCTAGCTCGATCGGTGATCGGGGACCTGTTTGAAGTGATAACGGCTGTGATAAGGGTTGCGGCCACGCTGCTAATAACGGGATATCTTTATTCAATTCTACGCCGCATCCCACTCGTCGTGAGGCACCAAATGCACTTACCGCGGGCTGTGTCTATAGTTGCGACTACGTCGCACACGCCCACTGTAAAAGCATCTGGAGTTACGCTCACAATAAATTCAAACTGCAGACTTGCTGTAGAGGTAGTGGTCTCACAATCGCCGGCTTGGTTGCAAGGAAGAGTATATGAAATTCTTGCCCATTTTTTTCGACTCTGGAACAACAAAATTAACGTTTTGATTCATGAGCTTGGCAAGTGTAGTCAGCGCTCCTCAATGTGAGAGTGGTGCTGAAATAATCGATCATTTGGAGACCTCTCCCACGTTATCACGTCTCAATGTTTATTATAAGCAGCGAAATCGCCATTGCTATTATAAATGCTGACGTCACTGCACCCACACGCGGCCTTTGTCACTGGCTTTATATGCTGGCGAAGTTCAGACATCGAGTAAGCCTCGGTCAAACTTTAAGATGACGTTCTTGGGAAAAGGTGATGTCATGATTCGACCGTAGCCTACGCTCAAAAGATTAGGAACCTAATTCGCAAAGGTTTTCTTTCTTTTTAAAAGGGTAATGACATTGGTCCGTCTATAATAATGCGCACAACTCCCGTACTTAGCTGAGCAAAGAACACATAAATAAAGCAAATACAAAAGTACGTCTCATGATGTGCATGTAAGCAACTTACACTTTAAAATAAGAAAAAATCAAGTATTTGGGGAGTGTTTCTATACCCCACAACAATAATCGTCAACTATATACTTCGAGCACTTTCCTCGCGTTATCACCACGGCATAGTTGGCCTTCACGAATGGCACTCGCGTTATCTGTGTGGCATAGCATTCTTGACAGGAAAGTGGACAGCGCCAAGTTTTCAAGAAAGGAAACGCGAGCAAGCCATATGACGGTTATTGTTGAGTAGCGAAACTACTCCCCGAATGCTCCATTCTTTTCTTAGAGTGTAGCGTGTGCATCTATTGTCTCCGAGGGTCGCTTTACAAGCAATGTACTTTCTACGGCTAAACGAGCTGTGACAGGGCTACGCGCTTTTATTTTCACCGTGTGAGAGTCTTCTAGAGCATGCACTGTTTTCTGGCTGGAGTATGTGCTCCCCAAGCCCACGCACCGGAGACGTTCGGCGTTTTCTAGATAACGAGAATGGATCTGAAGGACATGCATCTTCACGACAGCCTTTACAGGAACCACCTCGTAATCCGAAAACACGTGTAAGATGACATTGTTTAAACTTCAATCATTTGTCTTTGATAACAGTGGTGCAAATAGAACCTATACAAAACGCGAGACTCAACAGCAAGTGAAGGGTTGAGAATAAGCTGGGCGTCGGTAGTGAGAAATAAATACACATATTTGTGCACAATTGTCAATGAAGACTACCTACTGTGCGTGTTTTACGTTATAGCTAAGCTTAGAGAAAAATCACTAAAATGTTACTTGACAACGCACTCCTGAAGCCATTGCGTCAATATCCACATAGTACTGCTCTATGAGTTTAGTTATCTTTAGTTTAAATTATCTTTAATTATCTAATCTTAATTTCTAATTTTAATGATCTAAAGTTATCTTTAGTTTAAATTATATATTGTACACTCATGTAGTTTTCTGCCATTCGTCTTCTCTTCAGTCAGCAACGCATTTTCAGTGCCACAAAACACTTCACAAATTAGATCAAAAGATTACTATACAATGCCACAGTTTTCCTATGGTTAGCTTGGCCACACTACACACTGCATGGTATAAAGCCTGTAATTTCTGCTCCTTTCCTTTGTCATCACGTAACCACCACGTCGGCGCTGCTTCGCCGCGTCCTTATAACGCCGTGACCTTTATCATCACGCTCGTAAGGAGGCGGAGACACCCGCCCTCTCGCTCGGCTCGCTTTAGCCCGACGCCGCAGTGAAGATCACCCACTCTAGTACACCGTTCGCACCTGAGCTACTCGCCTACCCTCGATTGTACATCGCGAGTGGGGGTTCTTCTCATGAGTCACACGCGATGAAATTTCGCGTGCTCCTCCCCTTGCCAGCCGAGCGAGAAGGAGGAAAAACAATATCACCACCCGCGTCTAATCGCCGCAGCTTTCCCCGCGGCCAGAGACCGCTTCAGCTGACCGACCATTATTTACCTACTCGCGGTCATTGGGCCAAGGGGACCCGGGGCGGCCGCGTCTCCAAATTAGAAGCGAAGGGTTGGGCTGACGTCTCTCATCGCTGCGACGAGTATTACGCACAGGATCGTCGTCCAGTCTGCCATGGCTCTTTCCTGGAGATAGAATGCTGGTGAGAAAGAAGAGGAAGGATGGGATTGGTGAGGAAGGGGGGAGAGTAAGCCGCGGTCCTTACCGAGTGGGACGATGCCTGTAAGATTACACGCAAACGCGTGCGAAGCCGACAGCCGCCAGAGATAATCACGGGTTTCGGTAGCGCTGACTCGCGAAGCAGCAGCGCGAAGAGCAGCTACTGTAGGGTAGCTGAACGCATCTTACATGCGAGCCAGCGCTGCGTCCCCCGTGGCGTGCATGTATACGTGCGTACTTGGCAGTGTCGGGGTCCCTGGCCAAACTCGCCGTCTTGGGGGCAGGTAGCAGAGCCGGACATAATCTTGGAAAGAAAGGCTCTTTCCAAGCTAGTATGCCGCTGACGGACGATGGCTCCGCCTTCGGCTGTCGGCGCGGATATCGATAGCTTCAGCTGGATCGGAGAACAAGGTCGGGTGGCTATAGGAGATATGTGCGAGGAATAGCGAAAGGGGTCCTACAGCCTACCAGTCATTGGGGAGAGGAAGGGGGGGGGGGGGCGTAGAGAAGAAAGACAGTGCTCAATGATGCCATCTCGCGATCACGTATATGAGTGGCGTACATGTGCCTGCATGCAATCATGTCAACCCTCTTCCCTTGCCTAGCATCTCTTGTGTAGGCGCAGATACACGCATATGGTTGGCAGCCCATGGAAGCGGAGGAGTCCTCAAAGCAAGCAAAGCAGCGGAGCTCTGTAACACCGCGGCTTCCGACGCATGGCGCCAAAGGATACTGGCCCCAAGTCACCGTAATTCGAGACCACAAAAAGAAAATAGCAAGGGCGTGGTTACAGGGTATGCCTTTTTAAGTCCCACTGTTGCCGCCACAGCCGCACGCGCTCCGTGACCAACCGTAGGACCAGGACGGCCTAGGTTAGGCCTATCCTAGGTGTCCGACATGCCGACGCAATCACGGGGCCAGCCACCGCGAGAAGCAAAGGGGGTGGTGGTTGTGGTACGATCTACTTTCTCTCAGCCACTTCACATACACAATACAGAGAATTCCCGCCAATGTGAGAAAGAGAGAGAGGGGGCAGTTGAAGATAAAGAAATGGACGGGTTGCGAGAAATAGAGGACCGCCGCCGGCATGTGGTCGGCGCGCCAATTGCCCCTGTGGCCCACCGCAGAATGGTATACAACGCCGAGTTCATGGAGGGGAAAGCCTGACACGCAAAGCGCCAGTGGTTGGCGCCTCTTTGAATGCCGCGCGCGGCGACTATTTTTATTATTATTATTTTGAATACCGGCATGGAGACGCCAGGATGAGAGCTTGCGTGGAAAGTTGATGAAGGGGAACTGATCGGTTATAGGCGCGTGCCCGGGTCTCACATCCCGGATGAAGGCTGTTGCTCTGCATCTGCCAAAAACAGAAGTGAAGGGAATTCGTGTCTGGGAGAATTCAAGCAACGCGCCAGCCTGCGACAGGCATTTCTTGATGGAAGCCTGTCATGGCTTCAATTGCACTTTCTGTTGAAGGGCTTTCACGTAAACACAGTGCTCGCGAGGGTTCTTTCCAATAAGGGCACCACCTTTATTTTGTCCCCCTTTACATTTGTTTAATTCACAAATGCCAAAACGCTTGGGATATTCACGAGTCGTTGCCAATGGCCATCCGTCGGCGTTACGTCACCTGGGTGCCTTTCGCCATTGAGCCAGGAGAAAAATACCACTGATTTTCGCTCCTTGATGCTCACGATGATGGATTCCATGCCAAAGGTCTCTATGAATTTAAACTCATGGAAGTTTAAGATATATTAAATTTTAGTCCGTACATATTTGTCGTGCAGGCAGGAGTTCTATAGGGAAACGCCTTAACAAACACTAATTTATTGCTTAAGCGCTGCGGATACACGGATACAGATTTGCTCGCTGTTAGTGTTGATGTTGTTGTGGCTCGTGGTGCTGAGTTGTATCCCAGCGCTGATCACCAGTTGTCGTGGACCCCAGCGCGGTCAACCAGTTGTTGCGGACCGGGGTCTGCCCGGTCTTTTATGGTAGCGTGGTGTAGTTTCGGGTTGAGGAAACGAACGCTGACAAGATGGGGATACGAAAAACAAACAGTTTTATGGCACTATTTACACTTATTTACAGCATGAGGTTAGAAGTTCACAAACCACGAGCGTGGTGGTTGAACCGTTACATGGTTCAGAGCGACGTCCCGCACTCAGCGGCGTCGTTATAAGCCCTATCGGGCTTCTCCTTCTTGAGTGGAACACCAATCACACACACACAACAGGTGAGAGGTGCGGGCTTGCACGGCCCACGTGAACATCCAATATTGAGTCGTGATCACTGCACTGCAAGGTAGCTCCAGCGGGGCTCTTCCTCGTCGTGTGTGTGCCGCTGTTCGAAGGGTCCCAAGCTCCTGACAGCATACATCAAACGGTCCGCCGATCGGTTCACTCAATTAGCAAGGCAATTTGTGGCGGCTGCCGCGGTTTCTTCCAAGGAAGATGCTGTCTTTGTTGTCCTCTCTGGAACGGCTTACGGCACCGTGGCGACACGACGTCTCATCCTCCGGCTAGCAGGGACAATACCTGGTGGCATAGGCAGCCGGCCAGTCGGCTACTTGTTTGAGGATTGAAAGAGCGCCGCTCCCCCGTCAGCTGTGGACGCTGGTTCCGAGAGAACTGGGGTTCCAGGCGTGGGAACGCTGCCCGGCTACGCTTCTCGGCGACAGCATGGCGCCTACTGACGACGGTCATAACAATGTTTAAAGAAACCCACCGGCCTGTCACCATCGCTTTCTTATAACGCGCAGCTTGTTTAAAACGCGTCTTCAACTTGTACGAACACAAGCGAACATCTGCAGAAGTGCACCTGGGTGGAACAAAAGTTGTTGTACTCTAGCAAGGGGTCTTTTGTGGTGATCACTAATTTGCTTTCAATGCAGGTCACTGCTTTCGAGCTTCCGACAAGCGACCTCTCTTCATCGAAGGTCATTTCTAATCTTGACATTGTAATTCACATTGTCATGTCTGTGCACGCCGCTTCTACGAGAACCACGTGACTGGCCATTACTCACTCTGTACGCATGCCCATTTGTGTTGCAGTGTCCAAGCGCCAGAGTGCCCCGAACCTTATGAGCGTCTTCGACCGGCCGCCGAGGCTGCCCGAGGAAGACCCGTACAGCCTTCCAGGAGCCGTGCCTCGTCAGCAACCGCAGCCACCCAGGGAATCGAAGCCCCCGAAGCTACCGCCGAGGGACTTGCCTCGCGTCAGTGTGCCCAGGGTCAGACACGATCCTCTTTCTGTCTTCTCTCTGGCGCCAATTTTGGAAATATTGATGTAGTAAGGTTGCGTGGCTAAGCTATAGCTGCAGCCATGTATGAAGGGTATACTAAGCGGAGCAGTTTGTAATAAAACAATTTGGCCAATAAAGGTTTGTTCAGTAGGTAATCATGATGGCAGTAGGCGTGAAGGCACACACGTCGCTTTGGCTTGACGCGGCCGCCCGCCCACCTGGCTCTGCGTGTGTGTCGTGGTAGCCAGGTGTTCCCCACCGTTGCGTCAGTCGCGCCGAGTACACTCTTTCCTCAACGGATAAAGGGCGCGACAATGACGTATACCTGTCCCGCTCACACGTTGCAATGGAAGCTGTTCCACAAACATATACCGGAAGAAAATGCGCACGGAGTGCTTGGCAAGGGACGCTGCCAATATGGGCGCGTCACGACACATGCCAGGGAACCATGCACAGTGGGCGAAATTCACTTATCTCTGATTCGGGTGTTAGACCCGTTCTTCGAGAGAGGGAAAAAAGCGTAGTTCCACGATCATGCAGTCCCCTTGCGAGGACTACGCAACGTTTAGGATTGTGTATAAATCTCCCTTCTAATCTATATCTATACTCGACAGCAGCAGTCTACAGTGTTTCGAAATCCACCTGTATTTGACTGATCGCTTGGAAAATTGACATGGCACGCAGTCTGTGTACCATAGGCGAATGCTTGTTTGTTATTATACTTAGCTTGTTCAACATCACGACTTCCTGCCCATGACTTAGTTTTCTATGTTCCTTTTTTTTTTTCCTACTTGCAGCCTGACTACGAGGACGTGGAGCCTATGGCCCGACCTCCGCCTCCAGCAAACAGGAAAAAGAACGGTAGTTACTACGGTAAGTTCGCATGTCGACATAATCTTACCGCAGTTGACACCACAACTTATCGTACTTCTCTCGAAAATGAACCGTATTTTATCAATTGTGTCAAACGGCGATGCCTCCTGAACCGTAGACCATGCTTCTATGTACAATATCTATATGGCGGCTCGTTCGCTGCAGGCACTTCTCCGAGGAGGTGGTCAAAAAAAGGATTCACAGGCTAAAAAAAAGCACATCATACCCACGGGGTGCATGATGATGAGTGGGGCGAAGCGTCCGTCCTTCTGGGCGTCCGTCTGCACGACCATCCGTGCATCCATCCGTCCGCGCGTGCGCCCGTCCACGCATTCGTCGGTGCGTCCGTGCATCTGTCTGGCTGTCTGTTCACCCGTCTGTCCATCTAGTGAACACTCCAAGTACCGCCATCTCGCATATTTTCATCATATATTCAGCATATAGAAGTACCATTCAGCGGACATTTCAAGGACTAAACGAGAGGTGGCACTCGCGCACTTTCTTACGGCCTCCGCTTCATGTCTACTTCCCACTTTTCACCGCCTCTTGTTCATGGCTATATACTAGTTGACTAAATTGATGGCACTGCCACCCAGCTCTCGCTAAATCTGTGTTTAGAAAAAATTGAAAACGATATTGAGTACTAGGTAAATCTGTTTAGAAGAAATGTAGATTTCGAGTACTTCGTACTCAACTATGGCAGAGCGCTACGCCGTCCCTCTAAATCCAGACTGCTAAAGACTGTATAATGTGCATAATCATTCTAAAACCGAGGAGGTTACGCCCAGCGAGTTTAACGTGGCAACCCTTCGTGGTCAGATAGTGCTCAAAGTGCGTCCTTCTGATACTAGTTTTTTTTAGTAAGCTTCAAATTCAAGGAAAATTTTATTGGATATTAAGTCACCAATACTCGCCCCTGTAAGGCATGTCTTGAGAAACGACTATATTTTATTTATGATCAAGGTTCGCTGCTTTCCTCCTTGATTGAAAAGGGTGCGCGAAAGTATACCTCCTCTTGTCTGGTCGTGGAAATGGCTGCCTACAACTACAACGACTACATACACCGTGGACGCACGATGAACGGCGTAGCGAGCTTCGCCAACAAAAGGCAATTTATTGACCATCTGACTGCCAATGCGGCCCAGAACGGGTGCAGAAAAAAAGCCATAATACAGGTGCTCCTGGAAAAGCTGCTGGTCGTCAGCGCCTCAGCTGCCCCATCGTCTTGTGCGCACGTAGTATAGTTTTCTGTAGCATAATAAGGTCAGCCACGGCGTTGGGCCTTAAAGTTAGTAAGATTAGGCATGAAAATACGTATCTACAAAGCAGTCCGGCATACTTTCATCGGCCTCTTGATCCACGACGTCTCAAATTCAACATGCAGTTATTATTGCGACAGCAATTATATGGACACTCTCGGCTAGATTCTGCCGCTGGCGTCAGCGTCATTCACCGTAATATATATATATATATATATATATATATATATATATATATATATATATATATATATATATATATATATATATATATATATATATATATAGAAGGGAAAGAAGTGTATACCAAAGAGGGCTCGTTTTTCTGTGTTTTGACACAATATTAATGAGATCTAACAGACAGTAACGCCAAGGAATGTACAGGGGAAGTTATTAGAACCAATGGAATGTAAATAAGAATAAAGGAAAGTGGATGAAGAAATAACCAGCCGTGAGCAGGAATCGAACCTACGACCTTCGAACAAGTTCGATGCTCTGCTCACGGCTGGTTATTTTTTCATCCACTTTTCTTTATTCTTATTTACATTCCATTGGTTCTAATAACTTCCCCTGTACATTCCTTGGCATTACTGTCTGTTAGATCTCATTAATATTGTGTCAAAACATGGAAAAACGAGCCCTTAAGTATACACTTCCTTCCCTTATATATATATATATATATATATATATATATATATATATATATATATATATATATATATATATATATATATATATATATATATATATATATATATATATATATATATGTATGTGAAAACGCAAGAAAGAAAAATATTCCAGAAAAACAGTCCGGCTTCTTGCGGAATCGAACGTCTGGCTTCTGATTTGTGAGTGCGAGGCGTTAGCCACTGAGCCCTGCAAAAGCACCTCCTTCAACGTTCAGACGGCAAGCTATTTATATCTACCACTTACCACTGACGATGCATATCTTGGGGGAACTGTAGTGTTTTCAGCACTACCAGTGAGATGGCGCAATGAGCGCGCGTCGCCAGATCGTCATGACGCGGCGGCGCGCGCTCTCTCCCCCGCGTACTTTGTCCCGTGGAGAGGAGGGGTGGACGCTCACACGCGCGCCCTTATCTCGCCATGCGGAGGATCGTAGGCCTGGGGTTCTCACCGGAACAATTCTGTTGTAGTTACCGAACTCACGAAGGTCTCTGTACTCTTTCAGTCTCTCTCTTTGCGAAAAGGGCGCTCTTTTCAGACACAGCGAAGGGAGAATTGAGACGCTTGTTCGCGTTCGTCTGTACCTGTGAGCACGTTTCGCGCGTCATTTGTGCGTGAGCAACGCGGGAACCATTTCGTTCTGCTTTCCATTCTTCGCGTGACCTTTCAATTTGTTGCTGTCACGTTCACTGCTTCGCCTTTGCGGTAAAGCTGTGACTATTTTGTAATCGCTCGTTATCGCTTGAAAATGGCTCCGACAGAAAGCTTTGACCATTGATCCGACTCACTTTTGCATAATATTGCAGAATATATTCCTTGGATTGCAATAATTGGCTAATAAAACGTAATAAAGGAAGTTCATATAGGGCGGCCTTCACCGCAAATAACAAGTGATCACTGTTAGCACGACTCAAATAAGCTCTGTCATGGAGAACATAACTTTTTGCTGGAAGGTCTTTATTTCTACAGAATTAAATATGACTACAGAGACTAATACCTGTTACGTTGGTGTCGAATCGCAGAATGGAATTCGATACAACGGAAACAAGCAATGAGACACGTCTGGGAAATGTGTTCTTTCACAGTTCCACCAGACCATACTGGGACTGTGTTCCGCCTCCTACCTGTAACTTCCTCGTTTTTCGTGCGCGCTGTAACGGCTCCAAGCAGTTGCGCGCACCTGTGTCAAGCCCATATAATGCGCGACACGCGTCAAGACCAACGCAGAGGAGTTCGCGCGGCCGGGCCCCCGCCATCGTCGTCTCCTTGAACCGTTCACGTCGGGCAAAGCAAGTTGCGAGTTAAAGGAGCACGCGCTTCGGTGGCTCGTCACCAAGGACGTTGCTGCGCCCACGCGTTCCGTTTCGAATGGGCGCAGAAACAACACTGTTCCGCTAAGCCGCGGCCAGAAAGCTCATCTTTCGCAAATGCCGGCCAAGGAAGCGCCGCCGACGCCTCGTGTCATTGCTGGCACTAGGTGCGAGCGAAGAAAGCAGCCCCGCGCCGACTCAGATAGTTCGGAGGTTGACATCCGAGGACTCCCGCACGTAAAGCGTTTTCGTCTTGGCGCACTAAGACAATTTTTGTTTGGTTTGGTGAACGCCGCCAAGCTGATTTTTTATCTGAAATATTTGTCCCTTTTGCATGCCGTGATTATCATGAAACGCCTAGTGCATCCACGCAGCCGTTTTTGTTGGTTTGTTTGTTTGAATGCCGGTGGGCGCTCACAGTGAGGCGCGCTAAGTAAATCTGTCGTTCATATATATATATATATATATATATATATATATATATATATATATATATATATATATATATATATATATATATATATATATATATATATATATCAGCAGTCGTAATCAGCGGGTATAACCCTCCTATAGGAGGCTTTTTCCTGTATACAGCAACATACCGGAGAATATATGTGTCGAAAATTGATCTTATGGTCTTACATAGTCGGATAGTCGAGTCTTTATAAGCGTACAAAGCTCGGACATTGCGAAATAGTTCTAAAAGTTTCGGTTATTGCGAAAAAAACATCGCCTCTTGTATATTGTATTGTATATTGTATATTGTCTTGTATATTGTATATTGCCATTGTATAGCAAAGCATATACAAATACTGAAGTAGATCTGCAGGACCTCGTATCTTATGAGAGTCGGGTTCAAACGAGAGCTGTATTACGAGTGTACCTTAAAGTGTTTTGCTATGCAAACGATAAGGTTAATTTCTTGGTATTCCAAGTCGGCGCGTTGGAAACTCTCCACCGGTCGCCGGCCGTTGAAATAGGAACCGCCACCACCCGCGTGCCATCGCAGTGAGCCGGCAGCGTCGTCAGTCCAGGAAACGCCGAAAAGAACGGGGACAGCGCGTAGGTCTTCGGTGCGAGATTTGCAAGGGCTGCAGTTTGCGGACAGCTTTCCGGGGAAGAATCCTCGAGCAGGGTAGAGCTTCACAGTGCAGCTCGCGCCGAGGCCGTGGGAGGCCCTTGAGACGCTCCGACGGCGGCTGCCTTCCTACTCGAAATGGGACGTGCGTGGCTTACCTTCCCCCTTATTCTCTCAACGTTGTATAATGGGTAGGCTCCACGCGGCACACGCGTGCATTCGATGCGCTCTTTGCTCGCAGTTTTGTTTGAGGAAATCTTTCCTCGCGCTCAGCGTAAACCCGAACGAAGTAAAGATACAGAAAAGCGAGGAGGAAGACAGGATGTCCCACCTCCGCGGCGGTTGTATAACGTGCGCGCGAATCTCAACAAAAGGCGCGACCGCGCAGCCTTGAAGGGCACGTGTGCCATCAGATCCACGTTCACAATGGCGTGTGTGACGAAACGGGCAGTAAGTCAAATTCTGCCGTGCGAATCGTTCTGTAGCACGGATGTGACCGGCGCTGGGCCCTAAGTACACTGAAGTGTGATGTGCTTATTTGCAAGCATTTGTACAGGCCGCTTTTGTTTCGGGAAGAACAATTGTTGTCGTAATTCAGGCATAATATGTCCGTCGCTCTCTGATGGTTGAACCCTTCGCTGTGCTTTGTAATGTCTACTTGCTTTAAATAACGTATACACTTGGACTATGGAGTGATTTGCATTCAAGTAGTCTCACTGGTGGTTTATTTGCTAAACATATAACCAACCGGGACGCCTAAAGTATGTCTACGAAACTTGGTACATGCAGAAATTATTGTAATCCTCGAGTGTATCGATGGGTGCTACGCCGATGTCGTACCCTCCCACTAGGACTTCCATTATAACTTTTCTTCTAATAGTTAGCCCAAAATAAAATTATGTGAATTCGATGCGCGTGCTTGTTCAGCATTGGTCACCTAAACATATCGAAAATGCGTTACAATAGGAAAATAACTTAAAACAAACCACGTTCGTGGGAAAACGAAAAGCGAAATATTAAGACGTGAACAGTGCATCGCTAACTAGGTACTTCCTGAATCTCGATAGATGAATAAAATAAAGCCCAGTCACATACACCATAGAGTTTGCTAAAATTAACTAGAGATGACCTTGCCGCTGCGATCCTTCAGCGACCATAAGAATTATTGGTTGTACACAAAGTTGCCTATAGTCTTCGTGTTTGTGAGCATCAAACGCACTTGAGAATTTGTTTATTGTTGTGTTTCGGTTTTGTTTCGAATGAAAGAATGGCGGGTTGTGAATTTCGTGACCCTATTTATTTTGGTTAGCCTAAAAGGTTAAGGGGTTCAAGTGCAACTCCTGGACATTTGTACATTGTTCACATTGTTGTTTCGGGACGAAGCAACTTCAAGCCGCGAAGCCAAAAAGAGTTGAAGGTACGAAGGTTGGACAAATTTGTGTGCGACCAATCATTCTGATGCTCGCTTAAGCACCATACTTTGCTTTCATAAGCACTAGCGCCAGAGTTCTCTCTTGTGTACTTAATTGCTAGTGACTATATAAGGTACGCGGCTGCTGAGCCGCAGGTCGCAGGATCGAATCCCGGCTGCGGCGGCTGCATTTTCAATGGAGGCCAAAATGCTGCAGGCCCGTGTGCTCAGATTTTGGTGCACGTTAAAGAGCCCCAAGATGGTCGAAATTTCCGGAGCCCTCCACTACGGAGTTTCTCATAATTATATGGTGGTTTTGGGACGTTAAACCCCACATATCAATCAATCAATCCGTAGTTTACTTATAGCAAACCCTATGACATACATATCAAGGAAGGAAGTTGATGAGACCAAATCACCTATGTGGATTCTTCGTGGTTTGTTCCTGTGTTGTCCTAGTCTGTGCACGACATCCTGCATACTTGCTCTCCTATCTTTCTAAGGCAGCTTCAGTCATCTGACATAAGTCTTACGATCCTTCTTGAATCCACTATATCAATCTAAATGACGGCCATGCATCTTGACGTGGCCACGGTATACCTGTCATTCATTTCGATTTGAGATTTTTTTTTCTGTGGTGTGACACTGAATGCCCCTTCCGCAGACGACCCGTACTACTGCGGCTTCCGGGCACGTGTGCCCAACTTCGCCAAGCGGGGCCAGGAGGACGGCCACCACGCCGTGTCCGGTCCCATGTCCAGCGCTCCCATGCCTCGAAGCCACAGCCAGAACTACTTGAGCCTCTTCAACAAGGGACCCGAACGATCCATCTACGACTCGGCCTACGGAAGCTGTTCCACCGTCACGCACCGTAAGTTGACGCAGCAAGTGCATGCAAGCCACTGACATTATATAATTAAGGCAACACGGGGACTTCAACCGTCAACGCATGTGTCACACAAACGATGAAATGACACACGTCGCGGCAAAAGTGTTCATGCTGCGCAAGTGAAAAACTTTAAAGGAGCGCATATGCGGTATACATTCAAAAGAGACTTTCTGGAGACGCATTCGGTTTTAATTGCATGGAGTGTGATGAGCTATGTATAATCAGAAATTTTTCGTAACCTGTGTTTGGGTTCTCCTCTCTCGCTCTCCTCTGTCTTTTTTTTTGTTTTCATTGCAAAGAATATTGCTTACTTGCAGCGCAAATATAGGCCGCAAACAATGGATTTCTCAAACGAATAGCAGGAGTGCGGGTTGATGACCTAGCGAACGCCGCCTATAAACGATGTGAGGCTTACTTGTGATTGACATCCATTAAGACCATGACGGGCTCATTGTACGAGATATAAACCTGATGAGTTCGCTTATGACAAACACACTCCTCTGCGTGAGTTCAGTTCAGCGTATGTGGCTGGGCCCAATTTAGTAAATGCATGGAGTCGAGCTGCAGCGTTACTTGGCACGAATGCCGCGATAGTTACCTGCAAGAACGGCAAAATTTACGCCTGTGCTTTCCTCACTGTTTTAAGAACATGTACATTGCAGGAAACGAAAAATACGAACTTTGTTGCAACAATCTCACAAACTTGAAAACAAAGCAAATAGGCAAACATGCAAAAAAACAAATACAGTCGATATAGTGTAAATGACCCTCGGTGTCGCTCTTATTCTCATTCGTCACTCGCACGGTTTCCACATACACCGTCCCTCATGATCCGCTAGTTCTCGAAGATGTGAACGAGTTCGCGACACATTAGGCCAAACGCGTCCTTTTAACTTAAGACTTTCCTACAATATTTACTGAAAGTGAACTGTGCCACTGCGATCATTTAGGCACCATGGGAAGAATTAGTATATTTACCTCGTCTTCGTGCTTGCGACTTCAATGCAGATCTGGTTTTGTTTATTGTTTCGGGTTAACTTTTGTTTCAGGTAAAATAACAGCTCGTTGTGATCGTCGTAAGACGATTTGAATTCGTGAACATAAAAGGGCGAAGTGAGACCGCCGAACTTCCATTAAACTTCGCCCTATGTCAGAGCTGCTAAAGCGTCATACGCTGCAGCTTCCATAGAAAGTATACCGCCAGATTTTTCTGTAATGTACCATTATGAGACCGTATGGTCGTCTTAACCACCTTTCCCTCGTGCCTTTTCGCAGATGCACCATCAGGAGGAGAAAGAGGCTTCAGTGGCGGCAGCGGCGGCTCGAGCGGTGACGACGACTACTCCAAGATCTATGGTCGCATCGGCCGGGGAGGACCTAGCGGTCCCTCGTCGGCTGCCTACAACCAGCTGCCCCGCGAAGTGTACGTCGGCGAGTGGGAATGACAGGCGGCCCGCGACGGGGTCGCCGCCCGTCGTCGAGGCCGCCAGCCTACCACCCCGCTGTCGCAGCTACAGAACCAGCAGCCCCTCGCGTCGCGACTTCCTCCGCCGCTGCCGCAGCCTCGAAGCTCGAGGTCCCTGCCGACCGGCATCGCGGCACCGCAGTCGCCGCCCGCCTGGAAGCCGCACAAGAAGAGCGCCCTCTACGGCCGCGTCAGGGCCGTCTTCTCCTCTAGGAAACACTGATTCTCGAGCCCCGGCTAAGCGCGCGTGAAGAACACGCAAGCCGAGTGTGACACGTGGCCTCAAAGCGAGTCGTCTTGGCTTCTATACTGCTGTTCTGAGAAACACCTCCTGGACAAGGCAAGCGACGACAGTGGATACACTTGAGTGGTCTACATGCTGCCCGTATATTGATTGTCCAGCTGTGGAACGTGCTCATGGGCAACAGGAAATGACCCTGATGTACCTCCAGGTGCACCCATACGTTTTTTTTTTTTTTGCTTTAGATGTCACTGTCGTTATTTTGAAACTCGGTGGTGTCACGTAGGGCATCTCGCACGCTCCAGCCTTGTCAACAATGAAGAACAGAGAATACGCAATCGAAAAGAAACTGTCGCTGCTGGACTGCCTTCATGAGTTGCGTTCTCAAAGGAACCACGGGCACTTATTCGGAAAGTGAGCCACGAAACGTCTCACTCGGCTGCGGCTGCCAGACCGAAAAGATTGCGCACGTCGTCCAAACTTCGCTGAAGGCACCGGGCAGGATGAAAAAGTGCTACTTCCGCAAAACGTCCACTGTCGCGGTGCAGATTCGCGGGCATGTTCATCGAGACAGTGCATCCACGAGGAAATTCGAAAGGTGCGGTTGAACTTGCTGCGGGCTTGGCTGCTGTTTTCGGCGTGAAAATATGTTTTCAGTCTTGCCATGCGGCTATTTCGTCGAAGTCACGAGGTGCTTTTTTTGGACCATACATGCACATATATGGTCCAGACGAGCCGAGCATCGGGTCCACGGCTCTTTGAGGAACAACGTTTTTTACACGTTTTTTATAGTGTGTTCTTTGATTACTTTTTTTTTTATCCAGCGTGCCTGTGCAGCGTGCCCGTGCGTGAATGTGTGTGGCAGGTCGAATGCGAGGTTGAAGAGTGCCGCAACGTGGAAGGTTGCACCTTCCGCGAAGGATTAGGAAAAGGACACACATGTTGGTAGCGAGTGCCCCATATGCAGCAACGACCGAGCGACAAAGATGGTGTTCTTGTTTTATTTTTATTTTTTCGAACGTGCGCGTTGAAACTCCTGTGAGACTCTTTGCGACCAGCCTGACTGTACATTTTTTTTTAGGAACCAAGCAAACACCCTATCCGTCGTCGCCACTGACTTCCGCTACGTGCGTATAGCAGTGTGCTTCTGCTTGCGATGTTTGTTGTGGCCTATTCCTCTTTTTTTGTTCTTGCTGTTCCAGCCGCACGCAGGCGTTCTAGCAGCCAGAAACGCGGCTGACGATCGCTTCCTTAGTTTGTTTACTTGTTTATTACCGTTTTTTTTTAATCCTGCATTGTTATCCCGATCGCCTGCCTACCTGTTCACGAGACTTCAACACGCTTGGCGCTCGAACGCGAGCCAGTGTCTCGCACGTCGCTCTTTTTTCGTCGTGGTGATCGTGTTTTTATTTCAAGCCGTAGATGCGAGCATCGTGGGAACCCTGACTGGCTATTTACAAAGATGGCATTTGATTCGCAAACTAAACTTTTCAATTCCGGTGTCTGGCAGTGAACGTGTGTTCTGAGCACAATCAGAACAATCAGGCACGCAAAGCTGTGCCCGTCTTTCAAAGAAACTTGTTGCGTGTACCACTGCTCGTGGAGGAGTTCTCTGGCACAAACGACTGACAATGCATCAGCACACCGAGCAATGGTGAAAATGAGTTCTGTGCGTTTCGCCCCATTGAGCCAAGAGTAGGGTATCCCCGATGTTCCCATCTGCAGGTCGTCCCTTTTGCCTTGGTTTGTTCTACGTGCGTACAGCTCTTGTTATTGTTACCCTGGAGCCCCCCAACTTGTACCACACTGTATAGATAGATTGCTCAGTGCTTCCATGTTACCCCTATTTTTCGTTCTTTCTGCTATACGTAGTGTCGCAATATCTATATGTCGTACTTTTTTTTCTCGCTATAGTTTTCACTGAATCCTACTGCATGCAACTGAACAGACGAGGTTCTCATAAAAGAGGCGTTTCCCCGGTAAATGAGGGTATCAATGCTTGCGTTAAGCTCGTCATAACGAGTCCGGTTCGTACAGTAAAGGCCAGGGCAACTGGCAACGTGCATGGAATGCTTGGCAACCATGGCAACGCCAAAGCCATTCCAGTAACAAATGATGGCGCCCCTGACAGCACCGTCCAGCTGCTGTAATACTATTATAAAATTTGCTGAGTCATGCATCACCATCGCACATGCCACTGCATGCGCAATGCATGTCACACAGGGCTAAAGAATTTGATTCATGGAAATTTTCACCCGCTGAAAGTTTGCTAATCTCGAGTAAATTTGGAACCATGAGAAATGAGCGATATGTTCTCACTCGAATTTACGCCTGTGTTGGCTTTACCCTTCCCGCTCTCCTCTTGTTATTTTTGTTTTTGTTCACTGCACTTTCTTGTCCTTTTTTTTTTTTGTTATTCCAAAAGAGTGTTCCGTACTGCCAACCCACTGATGACCTCTAATTGTTTTCCTTACTTAAGTGTTCTCCTGTTGTTGACGACGACGGTGTCTGGTATACTGCTAAGTTAATGACCTGGAAACAGCTCTTTCGCTTCATGCTGTTGTGAAGGAAACGCGAGAAGTGTGACGTATGCGCACCGAGTGGTGACGCACACTACTCTTGCCGAAGGAAGGCGCGTCGCGGAAGTTCGAGGAGAAAACAAGAGGGAAACAGAAAACTGCCAAGCCTGTTGTTGTAATTACAAGTTGTTTTGACTAATTTCTTCGTTATTTAATGAACTCGTATAGCTTGTTTCATTTTTTTTCTTTCGCGAGAAGTTCATGCTAATAAAAACAAGACTTTCAGACGTTAAGTGTCTCTTGCTCCATTTATTCGTCACCAAGATGCTGCGAAGCCTGAACAGCCAGCTGCTCCAGGATCCTGCGTGGGTTATTGAGATGAAGCATTTTTCTGAATGAAGGCAATGCGTCAAGGTTCCCGATTGGGTTAATTTGAAAAGGAACTCGAATTCAAGCCAAAATAGCCATGACATTTTGTTCTATCGCTAAATTTGTAGCCAAATGGAACGGAAGCGTTGTGATAAATAGAAGTTTCATTATTGAACAATAAATAGCACCATATTTAATATGAAAGACAAACTGAATAATAGCACAGATTTCCCTCTCACTTGTTCTCGAAGTCATAGATAAGTGCATATGAATGAATAAATTACAATAAATATTGTGCGCTCAGCTTTCCAGCTTCAATGAATAGCCCAGATTCAGTGAACCACACAGATTCATTAAATACAATTGCAATACATTAAATACATTCAATACACGTAAGCGCAAGTACTACAGGCACCTATATACTGAATGCCGTATTACTTGCCTTGGGATGACTTACAAACGATAGACACCAGGTTGAAGCAAACTGCTATAATACACTCTGTACTGCGTAGCAAGTTTTCAACAGGAAGCGTGCGTGTTGTAAACTTGCATTAGGCCTCATTTCTCTCAGAGATGCTGAGAGGAGGGACGGAATGCATAGCAGCTATGATTCCTTTAAGGGCGAAGCACCCTATAGGTCTCGGCGTGTCGGCGTACATCGTCGTCTGCTGCAGTTGTCGTCACGACCTACTCTACTCCTGACCTGCCCAGAGAGCCCCTCTCCAGCGCCCATGTTCTAGTTCATTCCTTCTCCCGCTAGGGCCGTAACCTACGAGCGGAGTGGCGCTAGTCAACCCCTGTTCGCTGACGTCATCTTCAGCATTTGTGATCATATTTCGGCCAACAGAGCACTCACAGTGCGTAATTATTATGCACATATAAACAATAATTTAGAAGTTAATATATTAAAAGTCATTCAGAATTATCTTTGGCAATTAAATGAACGCGACATCAAATAGGCTGTCCTACACCATGTAATTCTACGGGTTTTCACGTTTCAATTAGTGTGCAATAAATACTCAAGCGCACTGAACAGCATACTTGGCCAGCCATCTAAGTGAAGAAATAGTTACATATATGCTGGCAGTTCACCACAGAATGCAGGCATTCTTACTCAAGCGCCTTCAGAACAACCGTAAGGTAAGTAGCAGACAAACAGGTTATAGGTAGCGCCACCAACAATGAGTGGTTGAACGAGAGCGGGGACACGCACTCCCATAGGAACCGAGACGCTTCTCGACTGACGAGCAGGAAAGTTGTCGCGGCGCCCTGCTGCAACGAACGCTTTTGGCGTCTGTCAACGGTTCTCTTGTTCTGCTCGTTGCCGAGGCGGCTCCACCACGAAGGTGAGGAGATGATCGCACATTCAAGATTCCAATTTCTCAGCCAACTGTATGATGCTTCTAACAGCCAGCTAGCGGACCCCAACATCCAAGGATCATCCCGGTCAGGGCTATATATACCGAGCGACACACCACCAAACGGTCCCACCACCGCAGGAAACCAAGTAAGCACGCATCTTTTTGCTTAGCGTCATGTGGCATCCGAGCATACAGCTATGGACGACCAGGAAAACTGGACTGTATTCTAGAACCGAAAACTCCCCCAACCCAAGCCACCAACCTGCCCACAGCAACAGAACTTACTTGAGATTATAACGTTGAGGCCTAAAACATTTAACATCACCCAGATTCCGCCGTACCAGTTTGCGTATAGACTCCGTCTAAGCCTTTTTCAAATTAAGGCGTCAGACATTCACTGCAGACTCCTCACCATGTCTAACCTAGCCGTAGTTGATTGCTACACACAGCAGGCTGCGCATCTACTGCTGAACCGGGAGCACCTGATCATTGACGATCAAATCGTGCAGTTTAATGCATATGTTGCGCTCCGTGAAGCGCGCATAAAAGGCGTCATTTACAGAATCAATGGATTCACTGAAGAGCAGTTAATGCAAGGTCTGAGAAGTTCAACTCACGAAATTGTGTCAGCACGGTCGGGTCGTCTAACACAGCAGTAATCACGTTCAACGGTTCAAACCTTGCAGAATACGTGGCTTTCGAATCAGTACGTTTCCCTGTGCACAAATGCAGACCCAAGACAACGTCATGCTTGAACTTCTTAGGCATAGGACACAGAGCTGACGTTTGCACAGCCCCGAAAAAGGACCCAGGAGTTTGCATAAAGTGCCATACGAAACATGCGGAGGATTTTATCTCTACTCTGAAACGCATACACAGCAGTGGACTCCATCACTCGCACTCGCCCGACTGTCCAAGGTAGCAGCAGCTACTGCTGCTCTTCGTAAGCGAGTGAACAAACCACACAAGCCAGCGGCGCCCTGTTCCTCACCGAACCGCTGTGCATCAGCAAAAAGACCCAGAAGACGCAACAGTCAGAGGAACAGAACTTTCCGTCTCTTGCAACCGATCAACTAACACTCACACTGCAGACGCGCCCGCAGTCGGCAACACAACCTCCGACGCAGCTAGCGTCCCCCGCCAAATATGATTGAGCTAAGGTGCATAGCGCGCACTCCTCGTCTGAACCACAGACGCAGCAAAGCGTTCTGCAAGAACTATAGCGGTACTACGAAACACCCAGAAGAAGTGCCTGGAAATGATCAGTGATCAACAGAAAACTATTGATGAACCTAAAACTGTCATTACCCAATTGAAAGAACAAAACGTTGCAGAGATGCTCTAACCTTGAGTCAAGGGCAACTAACCCCCCCCCCCCCCCCCTCCCACGAGCGTCAGCAATACGAGCATCGCTTCGAGCAATTCGCTGCACAGCTACGCCACATGCAGCACATTATTGAGACACTCACACCAAAAACGTCGTTTAAAGGTAACAAGCGCATCAGGCCCACTGCCAATGCAAATCAAGAAGAAACCCTAGATTAAGAATCATGCCTCTGATAATTTAGTGGAACGCGAGAAGCCTTCCCAACGAAGTTGATGACTCCCTTTGCATCATAAATGCTCTTGAAAAAACTTTTGATATTATTTGCGAGCGGGAACCGGGTAAATATTGCCCCATTCCAGGCTATGCTGGCGTTTCATCTGGTCGATGTGTTACGTATACAAAGAAGAACCTTGCGGCGGTCCACGACCTCATTTCTTCAGTTTCATTCTCGTGCATTCAGACTCGTACCGAAATAGAGGGCAGGACATACGAAATATTAAACTGCTACAGCCCTCCCAAATCAAGTAATGTAGAGCTCCCCCTTGATAAGGAGGAGGAGGAAAGTTTAAGCGGAAGGACAGGGGGTTAGCCAGCTCTTAGACCGGCTGGCTGCCCTGTGCTGGGGAAAGGGGTGGGGGGAATAAAGTATGATAAAAAATGTTGCGAAGAGAGAGAGTGTGAAATTACAAAAAAAATAGCGACAGAGGAAAGGCAACATCAAAGAGTATAAGACACTAAAGTCTGGCTCTGAGGCCAGTTGTCTGCAAAAAGCGTAGCACTGCTTTCAAAGCCTCCTGGGCTGAGGATGGGCTTGGCCAATGACCCAGAATCCTTTGTTCCGACAAAGGCCGATCATCCAGTCTATCCAGAGCTGCAGTCACTTCTTGTCTTGGTGCATTGAAATGGGTGCCCTCACATAGAAGGTGCGCGATGGTTTCTTTGCAGTTGCAGTGCATGCATGTAGAAGAGCTGGTCATTCCAATGAGATAGGGGTATGTGTTCGTGAAGGCCACTCCAAGCCATACGTGCAGCTCTGGAGTTTATAGTTGAAGAACCTTCGGGAACTTGGTCTATCTTCTCGGACTCGAAGGCAGCTCTTTAATGTCTTATGTCACCCTTTCGCCATGGACCTAATGAACAGTTAGTAGCTGAAATAAGGCTTCTTCACCACCAAGCAATCGAGAAACAGCACAGCATAGTGTATCAGTGGATACTAGGTCATTGCGGTATATATGGCAATGACCGCGCAGATGAGGCTGCAAGATCTGCACAAGACGGTACCCAATACAGCCATCCCGTTCTCAAGAAACGACGCAGCTACAAGACTTCGTTCGCCTGCACGTGATCTTACATTGGTGCAGTGGAACTCAACAGAATTCACAAACGCGCCTGCATAACTTGGATCCCGATCTGCAGCTTCGTCTTCCCTCAGGAATATCTCGAGCTTAGGAGACTCTTCTATCCCCCTTAATAAAATAGGCATTAAAGGTCCAGCCTTAATTCGGGAGACTTTAACGCACCCTGCGTCTTCTGGGGATACTCACAAAATTCTCCCAAAGGGAATCAACTCAAAAAAGATTTGGTAAACGCCGGCCTTACCCTCCTCAACACGCCAGACCAATACACAAGTATTGGTGCCATGAATAAAAATAGTACATCGCCAGACCTCACGTGGGTTATGCACCTACCGAAAGGTACGCACTGGGACATATGGCCCAACAATATTGGCAGTGACCACTTACCTATTGTGATTGCCTGGGGCCAAAATTTTACTATGTCAAAGGACTGTTCCTTCGTTGACTGGGACAAATATCGGTCTTACATGAATGGATGCCCTGAAACAGTCACCCTTGACGAATTAACAAAACATATACGAGAAGCGACATGGAAGGCAAGCAAAAGCTACAAAAAGATTCCTCAAAAGCCTGCGCCCAATAGGCACCTCCTTAACTTGTGGGAGGCGCACATAGCTGCTTTACATGCATACAGGACTGAAAAATCAGCTCGCAATCGTTTGGACCTTAAGCTTCTTACAAGACAAGAATCAAAGTACGCATGCAAGCTACGTAGGCAACAGTGGCAGGATTGCTGCAACCAGCTACACGGTCGGATAAATAATCAAAGGCTATGGAACATTGTCAAATCATTGGAAGGCCGGGACAAAACTTGAACAGCCACTGAAAAACTCTGTTTGGCTTCCCATTCATCAGCGCCAGCCACCGCTGATACGTGCGCC